AAAATGTTAAATTTAAAATTTCAGGTGGTTGGTAATGTCTGTCTTGAGATAGTTTGTAAACTTACATGAGACGTTTAGAATTTCCTGCTTCTAAAGATTCAGGTAGTTCTCCATTTCCACAATTGGTTCACTATGTGGAATACTATGCAGCAGTTAAAAAGAATGAGATGAACTTTCTGACCCAGAAGGTCTCTGGAGTATAATGCTGAATGAAAAAACAAGCTAGATGCAGAAAATTCATATTATATGATATCCTTTATGTCTTGAAAATCAGAGAAGACACCAACTGCTTTTCTCTGGGCATATGTATATATATTTAAACCCATGGACAAAGGTTCCAGAGAGAGACATGCCATCAGCATACTATCTGCAAGAGACGAAAACTGGGTTGGGGTATAATTAAAAGGTACATAAGTCTTACATGTAAAGTTTTTTTCTCACTAGAATATTTAGCTCATCTATTTGTGTAACTAAAAACAATGTTTTGAAAATTCTACGGGATAACAGATGGAATTGTTCAGTACAAACTGGACTGTGAAAGGCAGCTTAACCCAGATTTAGGCAGCCCTCAAAGGAGCTCCAGGAGAGCAGCTGTGAAGTGTGAGTCCACCTGCAGCCTGACACCAGTTTTGGTTTCTTAGATCCTGACAGGTGAAGACTGGAATGCTGTGATGTACGATGGCATTATGGCTTACGGGGGCCCGTCCTCTTCAGGGATGATTGTCTGCATCTACTTCATCATCCTCTTCATTTGTGGTAACTGTATCCTTCAGGCTGACCAGGGCTTTGCTGCTGTTGTCATGGTCTTCTTCTGTTTTCTCTCTCTCCACTTCCCGGTGGTGATGGTGGTGTTAGCAGGTGTGGAGGGGAGGTGAACGCCTTTACCTTGTTAGATCAGTATCTGCCTTCCTTCAGTGTTGCTGGGGGACAGGATTGCTAAGCAGAGTCTCAGTGGGGCTTTGAGGCATGCAGGCTAGCTAAGGGAGATGAGCCAGGGGGCAGGAGCAGGAGACGGCACATGCGCTGCTGCCAGTGGTCATCCAGCTTGGCGCCGTTCCCTGTGTATGTCCTAAGGGATGGCTTAGCACAGAACCAGGTGGTTCTCAGTGCCGTCGCCCTAGGAAGGTTAGGGGTACACCTATGTCTTCTTAGGGCCCTCCGTGACCAGTGGGGAGATATCTTCAGTGGATTGACCTATGCTCCCCTGAACCTAATTTTGCTTTGCTGATTTGCTTGGGGATCGATTGTCCAATGACTAGCTGTTAAATCATGCTGCATAACTTTTCTTTGGCTTGTTTTACTCCTTTTTTTTCTGTCAAGAGGCATTTTATAATCCTAGATTTCTGAAATTGGCCCTCAGATTTGTGTTTACCTCAGACAGACCCTTCATGATCCTGTAGGCCTTGGATGTCTGTCTTGTCTCTAGGTCCTCTGTGCCTAGCACAAACCCTGGCACACAGAGGCCCTGAATAAGTGCTTGGTGAATGCGCAACATGCAAACATATGGTGCCACCTCTTGGTCTTCACCCTTCTGTTCCAAAGTGTCTTTATCTGGATTCTTCTCCTGAGGAGGCCCAGATCCCTGTAGCTGTTTTCCCCT